ACAAGAAAGACGGGGAAGGAAAACTCAACAGTGGCTGGAGGTTCGGGCAAAAATCTACTCCGCCATCTTCCTCGTTCTTCAAGTTTTACTAAAGGAAGAGACCAGATCAAGGAGGGCAACCGTATTCAAAGTTTGGGGATTTATTTTTAATGTCCGAGTAATCTAGAAAACAAACAAGAGTCTCTCCTCTCCTTCTGTGGCTCCCACAGTCACTGTGACAACAAAGAACACTTAGTAAATGCTTCCAGGTTGAACAGCACCCCACAGTGTAGCCCTGGTGTTCTGGATGTATGAGGGCCTTATACAGATAACCAATTCCTCAATCCCCAGGATGACTTCTATTACCAAAGAAAGTCCGAGGCCAACTCACAAAAAAATGATCAGTGATAGGCTAACAGAATGCAAACTGATCATAACAGGAGTCTGAGTGAGAGAAGGCCACAAAGGGCAAGTTTTCTCAAAATTCAGATACAGCGCTTCAAAAACAAACCTGTAAGAATGCTCTCCCCATTCCAAAAATCACATGCAAATCATAAACCTTACTCTTCCCTCAGATGAATCATGAATGGTTCCCACCAGTAAAGAAAAAGCGTTTAGGGGCGCCTGGGTGGCGCAGTCGGTTAAGCGTCCGACTTCAGCCAGGTCACGATCTAGTGGTCCGTGAGTTCGAGCCCCACGTCGGGCTCCGTGCTGACTGCTCAGAGCCTGGAGCCTGTTTCCGATTCTGTGTCTCCCTCTCTCTCTGCCCCTCCCCCGTTCATGCTCTGTCTCTCTCTGTCCCAAAAAAATAAATTAAAACGTTGAAAAAAAAAATTTTTTTTAAAAAAAGAAAAAGCATTTATACATAGTAGGGGCTTGATGTTTTAGTTTGGGGGCTGGCAAATTACGGTCCATGGGCCAAACTGGCCCTCCATCAGTTTCTGTAAATAAGTTTTATCGGAACACAGCCATATCCATTCATCTGCGTGTTGCCTGTGGCTGCTCTCACACTATATGGACCCAAACTATTTACATATTTGTGAGATGACCATTTGGCCCACAGAGCCTTAAGTATTTACTACATGTCCTTTAAGAAAATTTGCTTACTGTGTTCTTATGAGAGGGGCAGAGGCTAGGAAATCAGGGAGACCTACAGTGAAGCCCCAGTTCCATAATTGCTAGTAGAAATTATACCTCAAAATTCTGGGAGACCTCAGTTACTTCATGTACAAAATCAGGGTACCACCATCTACCTTGCATGGGTGCTGCGAAGATTAAATAGGTAACATCCCAGACATATGGTAACTTAGCAATAAATAGCAGCTATTAAACTGCAATTAATGCCAAATACAAATTTGCTTACCACTTTAAGAAATAATCAAATGTCGGGGAGCCTAGGTGGCTCAGTCGGTTAAGCTTCCGACTTCAGATCAGGTCATGATCTCATGCTCCGTGAGTTCGAGCCCCACGTCTGGCTCTGTGCTGACAGCTCAGAGCCTGGAGCCTGCTTCAGATTCTGTGGTCTCCCCCTCTCTCTGCCCTCCCCTGCTCATGCTCTGTCTCAAAAATAAATAAAAACATTAAAAAAAAATTTTTTTTTTAAAAAGGAAAGAAAGAATCAAATATAAAATGATTCAAGCACCAGCCAACTATTTTTTTAAGTGAGACACTGTGCTGACATTCAACTACATTCTCTGTTAAGGAACAATAACACCCGGGGCGCCTGGGTGGCTCAGTCAGTTGGGTGTCCGACTTCAGTTCAGGGCATGATCTCAAGTGTCATGAGTTCGAGCCCCAAGTTGGGCTTTGGGCTGACAGCTTGGAGCCCGGATCCTGCTTCAGATTCTCCCTCCCTCTCTCTCTGCCCCTCCCCCACTCACACTCTGTATCTCTCTCTCAAGAATAAACAAACATTAAAAAAATTTTTCTTTTAAGAGATAACAATACTCAAGTACTATTGTTTTAAAAGACTAAAATTGTTTCCCTTTTCTCCTATCCTTTTAGTCCTTAACTTAAAAAAAAAAAAAAATTCAAGAAGCCAAGCTGCAAAATTTTAACATAAAGTGAATCCTTTCAATCCATAATATATAAAACATGTCAAGGGACACCTGGATGGCTCAGTCAGTTAAGGGTCCAATCTCAGCTCAGGTCATGATCTCACGATCTGTGGGTTCGAGCCTCATGTCAGGCTCTATGCTACTGGCTTAGAGCCTGGGACCTGCTTCAGATTCTGTGTCTCCCTCTCTCTCTGCCCCTCCCCGGCTCATGCTCTGTCTCTCTCTCTCTCTCTCTCTCTCTCTCTCTCTCTCTCTCTCCCTCTCTCTCTCTCCCTTAAAAATAAATAAACGTTAAAAATTTTTTTTAAAAAAACATATCAAATAAAACTGAAAATGCACATCAGGCTCTGAGAAATCCTGATCTATAATTTTAAAAGGGTGGGGGAGAGGTCTAAAAGGTAAGTTTCCAGATTTTGGTAAAGCCCCCAGGAGTACTTGCAGAACAGTCTAAGCTCCCAGGTTCACTCAAGAAACCAGTATTCATTGAGCACCTACTGTGTTCCAAGCTCTGGGCACCAGGTGTGCAAAGGGCAGTGTCATCATACTCAGTTTATAAAGAAAGGGGGTGCTCACTACCATGTAACATTAGAACCATATGACATGGCCAAGACCACAAAGCCATCAGTATGAAGTCATATAAGGTATTAGAGCTTGGAGTCCCGATTACCTAGTCAAACACCTGCACTGAAGAGACAGGTAAAGTGATTTGTCCATGATTACATGCAAGTCAGTAGCAAATGTCATCTCGCTGACTTCTTCCCACCAAGCTGTCCTCCTTAAAAATTCCTTTGTGAAAGGTCAAGTCTTAATCTTTCATGCTTTTGTGACCCGGAAGACGTATTCTGAAAAAACTACCCAACCTTCAAGCACCTTGGATTCCTCCAGGCAGTGTTACCATGTTCTTCTGGCTTCCCACCCAGTCCGGTGGGTCTCCCTCCTGTACTGTACTGCTCCCAATCTACTGTACTGTAAAACCCTTTGCTTGTTGATCAGTGCCAGACTATGAGCTCCTCGGAGGCAGGATCCAGTCTTGACACCGACTGCTAACGTCTGAGTGCTTGTTATGGGGCAGGAGCGGGACAACTTTATACACTCCTTCATTTAGTGCTTATAATAATTCTGTTATCCCAACACCGTAGATGAGGGAACCGGAGCCCGAGAGGTTAAGAGCTCACACAGTACAGCAGACCCTGTGGGCTACTTATTTAATAGCCATATTACCTCAGTCCCATCCCCAACTTCCTCCTTCAATCCATAATATACATAAAACCTGAGTTTTGTACACCAACAGCAGTCTGCTATTGCACAGTCAGTATAGTGCGGTTGGAGCCAATCTCTGTTTCACTGTCTGCCTTTATGGAACTGAACACTTAGGGAGTGCTTGTTCACTCACCGACCCAGTACTTGTTGAGCAGGAGTCTGACAGGGCTCAAATATTCCCCCCTCCTTCACATGGCCACATGCTTCACTCCAAGGAGGCCGGACTCTTAAGATCAGGAGGTCAAGCATGATGATAGACAATAATCATGGACACCCATCCACTTTCCAGTGATGCTGGGGTGGGCAGGCAAAGCCATTCTGGCCAATTTGATGTAGAAGAGTCTGCTGGGGAGCTTCTGAGAGAGACACAAGCGGACACTCTCCTTCCCTGGACATTGCTTTAGCTACTGCAGGCTTCTTAAATTCTTACAGAAAATCACCCGACGTCCATACAGTGGCTTTAAGGCAATGAGTCAGACTTCAGTTACTCTCACCCAAAAGCATCATAATGTGCACACAAAGCAGCGGAACTGTGATCCAAACACAGATAAGGTGTCTCTAGACTAGACCCTCCACACCTCTCCTGTAACACTCCCACCATCCAGCACCAAGGCTGAGCACATAAGCAGCACGTGTAACTTCAGCTAAATGAATAAATAGGTGAATGAAATAGAAGTTAAGCTCACCTTTCAGAGACAGGATAACTTTTATGTGCAGTTGTAAGTAAAATATTAGGGTCGTAGGTCCCTTAATGAGTATAAAGCCTACTGACTCTTAGAGGAGACCAAGGTTTAATGCATTTGGAAAACAAGAGTCTGTAAACACTAGTTTCCAGGTCCAAACCAATCTCAGAAAACCGGGTCAAAGAAAAAGGCACAAGAGATTCTGTTTCTCATGGGCTCCCTTCACAATGTTTATAGCACTTATTAGGAGTCATGCCGACGCCCCAGTCTTCCACCCCAATCTTGACCCAAAGGGTCAAACTGAAAGAGAGAGGAAGGGGGAGGGGACAGGTAGAGAGAATGACATCTCTTCAGTGCTTCAAGTCCCATCTTTATTCATGAAAGCTCAGTCCTTGAATGGGTAAAACGGTCATTTGGGTCTTCGGACCCCTGCCTCCACCCACTACCCACCAAAGGCACATGCCCACCTTGATCTTTAGAAGCTGAAGGATCGCCTCCAGGCCATTGCATACAGGTTGCAGAAGAGTCCTTGGCAACCCATACTATTTTTGGCCAGGTACCTAGGCCAACTTCAACACAGGTAAAATTTACCTGAAGGTAAAATGCTCCACGTACTATAGCCAATTCTATTCCCCACAGGAAACCAGTGAATACATTTGCTTTTCCTGAAGGGCCACTCACCAACATCTCATGACCCATTCACTGCAAGATACAGCATTCGCTTCAACTTCAAGGCTGCAAATGCCTGTAAACTTTCCAACACAAGGGCCTCTCTTTACGTGTTCACTTGGCCTTCTCTCGAAGTGCTGAAGCATAAGGATTCTTTCAATCCCCAACAAGAATCAGAGTAAACTCTACTTGCTTCAGAATGAAATGTCCAAAAGCCACAACCAGAGTGTCCTACTGGAGGCCAAAGAATCCTGCTCATCTCTCCCAGAGGAATCCTTTCTCCTAAGGACCAATTCGGACCCACCAAGGCAGCCCGGCCACCTATACAAGTGCCTCCCGGAGCGCGACTTACCTTGTAATTGCTAGAGTTCACCCAAGAGGTAGCGAGCCCATCCACAAGTTTATCTAACATGGTCTGGTCATGCTCAAGGTCAGCAGACTTCTGTTTGTCTGAGAAATAGTCTATAAGTTCTTGGCCAACCTGCAGCCGTTTCCCCACATCCTTCTGCAACACCTGTGCCAGGCAGGACTCCATGCGAGGCTCCATGGTGGAATTCAAATCCAGATCCAGCAGAAGCTAGAGGGCAGTCAGGGTGACACCCTCCCAGTAAACGTACCCAGGAGGTTGCCTCTTTGTTCGCTGAGGGTTACTAAGAGCCTGTGTTTCAAAGATGCAATCCGGGGAATGGCAACAATGCACCATGTGTGTCTGAAGAGCAGCTGGTAGGATATTAAAAGTCCAATTTAAATAACTAGCAGGAGATAAAGGAGTGAGTGGCAGAGCGAGGTTCTACTCTTGGGTCTGAAATTCTTCATAATTCAGCAGTCCATTCTGAAAAGTAACAGAGAGCGACAAATCAGCACAGATAACGTAACATTCAAATGTTTTGAAACATTAAACCACAGACAAAGCAATTCGCGCTGCAGAATCATTTACAATCACAAGTGGAGTGAGAAGCACGAACGTTTGGCAACCATATCAGAATAACATCATTATTATTTTTATCAGGAAGAACATGGAAACCCAAAGCAAAGAGCCAATGAGCTACACAGTTGGGAGGTTGACGTTTTTCACAATTTTCCAGCTTGTAAATGCACCAGTCAGGAAAGCAGTCTTCTGCTTCAGCTAGTATATTTATTTGTGGCTTCAATTTTGCTTCCCACCAAAAACTTAACCCCACTCTGCGTGTGAATCACTGTAGGTACTGTAGCTTATTCTTACTACCTTACTCTGAGTTTTCTAAAAAACCCACTGCTGGAAATGGGGTGGGCGCCATAGAAAGACCACTGACCAAAGTGGCTGGCCTGGTAATGGGAACCAAAGACAGCATCTCCATCAAACTTCTTGCTCAGGAGCTTTACAACAGGGTGAGCAGTCATCCCTGCCTCGTCATCCTCCCTCCAAGAAAGAAAAGGGAGTGATGGGGGTGGGGGGACAGGGAGAGGAGAAGAGGGAACAGGCTCAATTCTGATCACTTACGGACAGTATCCTCAGCTGACAACAGCACCATTTGGACCTGGTGTTTGTTATAAAATCAGGAGATCTCAAAATCATGTTTGAGGGCAAAACACATGATTCGAGAAAAGTTACACTAACACTGTTTTCATCAGACTGAACAAGTTGAACAGTGAATCTATAGCTGCTGCAGCAACTGTACACATTTATTTCTTATGCAATTTCTCCTTGTCTTCCAACCTAACAAGAGCCACAGAAAACCTGTCTTCCAGATGCAGCACCTCCCTGACGCTGCAGGAACGAGAACTGTTCCACACATCAGCAGTAAGTCCCAGCTCTCAGGGGTTCTAGCAGGCAAATAAATCAAGTAAAATTAAAATTCTGCACAGAATAACTCTTCCAGTCTGAGCACAGAGATTCTTTTCCTTTCTGACATCACCTCATCCGTCCCTACGCTCGGTATAAAAAGCACAATGCGATGGGGCGCCTGCCTGAGTGGCTCAGTCGGTTAAGTGTCCGACTTCAGCTCAAGTCATGTTCTCATGGCTCGTGGGTTCGAGCCCCATGTTGTGCTCTGTGCTGACAGCTCAGAGCCTGGACCCTGCTTCGGATTCTGTGTCTCCCTCTCACTCTGCCCCTCCCCTGCTCATGCTCTGTCTCTCTCAAGAATAAACAAACATTTAAAAAACAAAAACAAAAAAACAGCACAATGCACTTTCTGAGTTCTAGAATCAGAGACTTCTGACACCGGCAGTAATCATTCAAGTCGAGTCATTCAGTGAGGAAGACCCTCCTTCAAAGTCCCTGACACATGACTGATTACCCATCTTCTACATGCATGGTGCTGGGGGCAGGACGGCCCTCGAGAAGACCCTGCTTCACACGGCGGAGGAGACAGCCGCTCTCCATCACTTCCACACCGTGGAACTGGTCCCTCCTTCATAAGAAGGACCTTCAAATACATAAAAGCGTCTATTACCCTTTATTCCAATTTTTAAGCCAAACAAAATAACCACAGCTCCTTAATCAGCTATGTTGAGCTTTATAAAGGAGGCATCAGTGATACAGGAAAACTGGACAAACAGAACCTTTTCTTTTCTCTGTCCAATATCAGCCCAAGAAGCAAATCAAACAAGATTGGGCTTCTCTTCCCTCATCAAGGTGGGGCCTAAGTCCTCTCCCACAGTGACTCTGGGGTTGGCCCTGTGACTTGCTTTGGCCGGTGGGGAACCAGCCGCTGCAAAAGGAAGCAGAGATTTGAGAGGCAAGTGCTGCCGCCCACCCTTAGAATGCTGCCCAGGGCCCACCATGCTGGGAGGAAGCTCCTGGAACCTGAGAGGCCATGTGGAAGGCAAGCAGCACGCTCCAGCCGACGGTCAGAAGCAGCCGCCAGACGTGGGAGTGAGTCCGTCAGGGACCGCTTAGCCACTTCAGTCATCATCTGACTGCAGCTACACAAGTCTGAGGAGACAAGCAAAAAACCACCCAGCCAAACCACAGATTCTAAGAGGTAACATCTCGTTGTTGCTGTAAGCCACAGGTCTGCAGTGGTTTGTTACACACCCGCAGATATCAGATGCACTCTGCCCTCCCCCAAACATCTATCTTTCCTTCTCAGTGACAACAATCTCCTATCCTTTACTCCTCCGAGGACCTAAAATCAACGGACACTAACCAATAATGATAATGATCACACAACTTTGAAGCCTCTACTTGAGGTGTCAAGTTCAATGCCAGATGATGTATATGGACTGCCTTTAATTCTCCAACCAACTGTAAAAAGTAGGTATTAGCATCCCTATTTTACAGATGAAGAAACTGAGGGAAAGTACAGGTAAGTAAATTTCTAAGGCCACATGGCCACTTAGTTTCCTCTCCCCACCTTCAAACCCTTGTGATTACAAGCGTGGCCTAGTTCTGTTCTCACTCAGGGAAAGGAGGTCAGACATCATGCTCAGCTAGGAAGTAACAGGCAAGAGAATGCGGTCTCCATTGCTGGGAGAGGAATGATTCTGTTCATTTCAGCCTCTCTATAATTTTTAAAATACGTATTATATATAAAAAGCTCCCCTGCCCTAAGAATTGTATAGGATTTCCAACAAATAAAACTATATGCTTCTTGAGGGTAATTATGCAATAAAGGCTTAAGATACTCAAAAGTAGGTCACAAACTCCTATGTACAAAACCCACAGAATGAAAGACACTGTTAGTCCCTAAGCGTTAAGCAGATTGGGTCCTCTCTACTCTTTTTCTCCTTAACTTAAAAGAAAAGGGGGGGGGGGTGGCGCCTGGGTGGCTCAGTCGGTTGAGTGTCCGACTTCGGCTCAGGTCATGATCTCTCGGTCTGTGAGTTTGAGCCCCGCATCGGGCTCTGTGCTGACAGCTCAGAGCCTGGAGCCTGCTTCGGATTCTGTGTCTCCCTCTCTCTCTGCCCCTCCCCTGCTCATGCTCTGTTTCTCTGTCAAAAGTAAATAAACATTAAAAAATTAAAAAAAAAAAAAGTAACATACTCTCGAGCATTTTCTCCATCTCTGCTTTCAGAAGCATTCAGGGAGTATCAATCACATAGTCCCAAATTCACAAGGTACAAAAGTATAAAACCTCCCTCCCACTCCTGCCCCCCAGCCACCTAGTTTCCCTAACAACAAATAATGTCACCAGTTTCCTGTGTACCCTTGCAGAGATATTTTTAGTGACCCAGGTAAATAAATATGTGCCTTTCTCCCTGTACCCCCTGGGAATTTTCTAAACCAACAAAAACACCAGCAAAACTTCATACAGCAACAGAATTATACAAAAACATTCTTAAAAAAAAAACACGTTATATTAAAAGATGCAGAAAATAGAATATAAACAAACGGGGGGAGGAGGAGGTAAGACATCTCTTCCTTCCAGCCACATCCTGTCCAGGCTCTCTACCAGGGAAAAGCCCAACAAGGAAACACGTCTCAAGTTAACCTGCAGTCCCAGAGGTGACCTATGGTTAGACCAAATAAAAACCAGGTCTGTATGTGCAAGGCATTGCTGGAAGGCACGGGGACGCGATAAACAGGACTCAGCACTTGCCCAGAGAGACCTTACGAACCGGCACAGCGTCTGTTCACGATCGGTCATCAGTTCTGAAATCATCATTTGAGGGCGCGGTGTCGCACAGAGGACTACCTGACAGCAGCGCTAGTGTTAGGAATTACTCAGACTGTTGGAATGAGTAAGTCACGGGGATGAAAGTGACAGCACAGGGAATACAGTCAGCAGCACTGTGTGGAGACAGACGGTGGCTACCCTTGTGGGGAGCACCAGCATAATGTACAGACTTATGCAATCACTATATTATACACCTGAAACCGATGTAACATTGCATGTCAACTGTACTTCAATTAAAAACAAAAACAAAAACAAAATGACTCAGAATGTAACACTATTTGTAAGTTTAAAAAAAAGTCCCACTTGCACACGTTTTCCAAAATAATAAGAGAATGTAAAAATGATACAAAAGAAAAGGCAGGTGAGGTTAGAATGGCCAACTACCTTTCCTCCTCTTGATGTATCACGCTAAGTGCTCTCCTTGAGCAAGATCTCACCACGAAAGCCATGGAGCCACTAGACCTTATTGTATCAGTTCCTGAGAAAAGGGACACATGCCAGGTGTTTCCAAAAAAATGCCCCAACTCCTCTTAAACTCCTCCTCCCCAACTGCTAAGGGCTCTTCCATTCCCTTCTCTGCCCCCCCCCCCCCGCTACGGTATAAGCACCTCAACCTTTTCCTGCCGCATCATCTTGGTCTAAACCAGGGGCGGGGGAGTAACAATAAGAGGTGAAGCCCATGGCCCTACAGCCATTCTCCTTTGCAGTAGCCAGGAAAGTGGAAATTAACAGAGCAATGTTTATCAGAACAATAGCCCAACTGTGAGCCCAACTCTGCCAGGGACTAACAGGAAGAAGTTAAAAAATACCAGCTTCAACAAGAATGAAGAAACACACAATTACACAGCCTGAGGTAATGAAAAGAGCAACAAAGTTTAAAATTCCAGCCCCTAGTCTTGACTGCCACTTCCTGAGTAGCACTGGGGAGAATGTTGGCTCCTCATTCATTAAATAAAATTAAAAGTGGAAAAGGTTTGCACGGGAATTTTTTTTTTAATTTTTTTTTCAACGTTTATTTATTTTTGGGACAGAGAGAGACAGAGCATGAACGGGGGAGGGGCAGAGAGAGAGGGAGACACAGAATTGGAAACAGGCTCCAGGCTCTGAGCCATCAGCCCAGAGCCTGACGCGGGGCTCGAACTCACAGACCGCGAGATCGTGACCTGGCTGAAGTCGGACGCTTAACCGAATGCGCCACCCAGGCGCCCCTGCACGGGAATTTTTAAAAACT